AGAGAGAGAGAGAGAGAGAGAGAGAGAGAGAGAGAGAGAGAGAACAATGCAGGAATTTTATTAAACTTCAGAGCAGGCTAGAGAACTTTTCTTTGTATCTGAGTTTTAGGTAGGGAACTTAGTATGGATACAGAATTTATGAGACAGGCAATACCAAAATTCATGCTACATGTATGTTCTTTTTTAAAGATGGTCTCATGCAATCCAAGTTGGCCTTGAACTTGCTATGGTGCCAAAAATGACCTTGAACTTCTAATCTAATCCTCCTGCATCTGCCTTTAGGGTGTTAGAATGTCTAGCCTGCATACCATACCCAGCATGTATGCTGTTTTCTGAGACATGTCTTAAGTCCTTCCACAGAACTAAATTCTAAGTTTCAAAGCTTCATTAGTACATGACCCTTGTTTTACTCATTCAGAGACAGGTGGAAACAAAACCCTTTCAACTTAAATACACAAAAGCCTTTAGGTTAGTGGTCATCAGTAAAGGCTGTGAATCAGCACATAAGGCACACAAGATAAGTATTCCCACTTAGAATGCTCTTCCTGATTTCCACACTGAGGCTTACTTATTGAATTGCAGTACACGCCACCTAATCTGTAGAAGGTAAGGATTTTCCTATCTAAACAATACACAACTTTAAGTGTTTTTAACTTGGAGACCATTAGTATTATAAAGAGATATTTACTTGGATTTTATTTAAAGAGACAGCTACTGGAAGAAAGAGAAGAGTATATAAGCAAACTGAAGTTGGAACTTGAAGAAAAGTACCAAGAAACTCTTAAGATGGAAAAGAGCAAGTGGTTGAAAGAACAAGAAGCTGATGTTAAACAGCAAATTGGAAATGAGGTGATGTCAGCCAGAGCACACTGGGATAATGAAAAAGAAAGGGGTTTAAAATTTCTTTCCAGTTACTTTGTTTAAAAATGTACTGTTAACTAAAGAAGATAATTCGTCCTGAACACATCTGTAATTTTTAATTAGCAGGTACATTATACAGTCATCCGTTATGTTTTTCAGAATTGTGCTTGTAGCAGTTCATCATATCAGTTTTACTCTTTGAAATTACCCCTCCTTGATTCTTGGAAACAAAAGACAAAACAAAATTCTAGCATATATGAACTAGATTCTCCTGTCCACAAGCTTGTTATTAATTTCTGTTAATTGGAAGCTAGGAGTACTTGAGAACTAGATTTCCAGCAGACAGGAACATGGAAAAGGAAAAGGAAGTTTTGCTACTTCAGAGTTTTGCCTAAGACTAATTGGATACAGCCCACTGCATTGTTGAGAGTAGAAAACCATCCAGAGGTTCTTCTTGACTACGGTCTACTTGGTAAACTTTAATATTGTGATAAATAGGATTCCACTGTGTTCAAATCACTAAAACTATTTTTGTACATTCAATTTAAGCTCATTAATTAGATTTACTGTTTTTGCTTTGTAGAAAGTGTAACATTGATGGAAAACCTTGTAGTTAATAGCAAAAGATTTTGGTTTTGTTTTCATTGTGACATTTTTATAGTGGCAGAATCAAAACTTCCAGAAAAGTCACACACTGATAGCAGGAGAGGCTGACCTTATATACTATAATGAGTATTTATATTGATTTTTGGTCTGTAGCTAAAGCCAAAGAGTAGTGTTCAAGTATTACTTGGGAATATATTTTCATGGACTAAATTTCTAAACTTCATATAATTACAACAGTAATATTCAGGTATGTCCAACCTGTGACCCACAAGCTGCATGTGCCCTAGGGTGCCTTATGAATGCAGTCTAATGTGTAGAATTGTAAACTTAAAACATTATGAGGGGTGGACTCACTTTTTCCCATCCATACATCCAGACACCCATCACCACCAGAGGAAAAGAAACACTCAGCCCCCATCATGGGGGACGGAAACAACATGGGATCATGCTACAGGGATAGGGAAAGCCACAGCCACACAAATACATCGTACACAGGTAGCAGATTATGAAAGAATGAGTAAGAAAGGAGAGAGAGAGAGAGAGAGAGAGAGAGAGAGAGAGAGTAAGAGAGAGTATGTGTGTGTGTCTGTATGCACAAAAGTGCAGGTGCCCTTGGAGGCCAGAAGAGGCTATCAGATCCCTAGAAGCTTGAGTTGCAGGTGGTTGTGAGCCCCCTAATCTGGGTGCTGGGAATTGAACTCAGGTCCTCTGCAAGAGCTCTTAACTGGTGAGCTGCCTCTCCATCTCCTCTCTGTTTTACAACTGTGGTTGCTTTTTTGAGCAGCTCTTAATTATACTTTTTACTTTCTTGAGTAGTTTTCTTCTCATACTGCTTTTCTTCTAAAAACAGAACAAACAAAAATTCATTCAGCAGCTGGAAAAGGAGTGGCAATCTAAGCTCAACCAAGCTATAAAGGCACGGAGAAAGAAGACCTCAGACTGTGGTAGCCAGACAGACCAGGTGGCCCCCCTTGATATCCTTTCCAAGACAGAGGTAGCTGTCTTGGTAGAAGAGAAGACGAGGAAGATCCAGCGGGAGTTAGAACAAGAGAAGGAGATTTCTGTCAAAGGGGCTTTGAAGAAACTAGAAGTTGAGATGGAGCTCAAGTGTTGTGAAAGTATTACCAAACAGGTAATAGACATGGTTATTATAGCAAAATGATGGGAATTGTCTGTTATTAATGAAAATCTGTAAAATGCTACCTTTGAACTTGCTTATAATTCTATACTTCTAAAACATTTTTGCATTTCTAGAGTAGAAAACCTACATTGTTTCTAAAACTTTATTCATTTCTATTGTGAAACTCTCACCCAGTTTCTCTGTGTTCTTTGAATTTTCAAAATGTTGGCTTTCTGTGACCTAAGTGTTAAGATGCCTGAGGTGGTATGCATATATAGATGGTGGTCTTAACTTGCAAATAAAACTTGATTAAGACTCTTTTACATTTGGTGTTATACAAAATACTCCACTAAAGTACTTTTCGATATTTTAATTAAACTATTTGACAATACCAGTGTTGCGACCCAATGCAGAATTGGACCTTCAGGCGTGCCCCACGTGGAATTTTGTCATTCCCAGTGGTGGCCAAAAAGCGGTGCTGTTGCCTTTCCCTTAGAGCACTCACAGCTGAGCTCTAAGAAAAAAGCACACCAAGGAAAGTAGCTGTGCTGACAGAGTGAGCCGACTTACTCTCTTGTGTCTAACTTAATTAGTAGAGATTCTTCACGTGAGCAGCTAGTGTCTTCATACAATTTTGAAAATAGTTTAGACCTCACAGATCACCTGATAATGTTTCTCGCCCTCAAAACATTCTTAGACCTTGATATATCTATTATATATTTCTATTTTAGACATATTACTTTATCATAAACTAAATAAGTGAATATCTAGAGATAGAGTCTAGTGATGGAGTACTTGCCTAGCATCCACAAAACTGTTAGTTCAGTTCCCAGTACCAAAAAAAAACAGAAAATAAAAAAAGAGGATATCTGAAGTAATATATTTCAAAATATATTTAGATTTTTTTACTTCATAAATACTTGGAAATTTGCCCACATACGTTACCCTGCATGATTTTGTAGGGCATTTTAAAAGTCTGGAAACATAGCCAAATAAATATGAACAATGTTATCAGGGACATCTCTAGTTAGTTACAAGATTCCTGAAGTTGGGCATGGTGTTGCATTTGGGAAGCAAAGGCAGGATAATCACCACAAGTTTGAGGCCAGTCTGGTCTACATAGTGAGTCCAGACTGACTAAGACTACATAGGGAGATCTGTCTCAAAACAACAACAGAGTTTTCTGAAATGTTTAATAAAGTTAAGAAAATGTTGCATAGACAAATAGTTTGAGTGCTTTGAGGGTGGGAGGTGTGCAGGGAGATTGGCTCAGTGGTTAAGAGTACTGGCTGCTGTTGCAGAGGACCTGGGTTCAGTTCCCAGCACCCACATAGTGGCTAATAGTTGTTTGTAACTCTAGTTCCAGGGGATCCAGTGCTGTCTTCTGGCCTCCACAGGCACTGTATGCCCATGATGCACTTACATGCATGGCAGGGAAAATACTCATACACACAAAATAAAAATAAACAAATTTTTAAAAACCAAAGTGCTTCTTTGGTATATATGAAATTATAGATTTTATGCGGAAAACTAGTAGCACAATATAAAGGAAATGTTTCATAACATCATCTTCAAAATGATAAAAATTTCTGTAGTAGCTCTACCTTTTTTTCATAATTTTACCTACCTGGAGTTTTTCTGAACTTGTAATTAGTACTTTTGTTGAAAATATCAGCCACTTACATCAGCTCTGCACTGTATGTGTACATCTGTGTTTTCAAAGAAATAAATGAAGAAAATTTGTTTAATAAACAATATTCACATAATTGCCAACATTTCTAACCATATCATCCTCAAAATTCATCAGATCTCTCAGGTGTGGTGGTGCATGCCTTTAATCCTAGCACATGGGAGGCAGAGGCAGGTGGATCTCTGTGAGATCGAGGCCAGCCTGCTTTACATAGCCAGTTCCAGACCATTTGGGGCTACTGGGAGCCCCTGTCTCAGAAAAACAAAAACAAAAAGCTATAATCAGGTCTTAAGAGTTTTTGCCTGAACCTGAAGGATTTTTTATATATATATATATATATTTATATTTGTTGTTGTTGTTGTCCAAACTTATTCTTGACAAGAATATATGTGAGTATAAGGCTCTAAAACTATACTGCTGTGGTCTGGGGGATAGTGGAGAGCATGAGGAGCGAGGAGGTGGTGGGTGTAATGATTGACAGAGCTGGCACCAGGTAACCCTCTGGCATGCCTTCTTTTCTCAAGATAAATAGAACTTTGTTGGAATGGCTGGTAGTACTTTGTATAAAACTTTCTGAAGAGAGCATTCCTTATCAGGTAGATTCCCACTTCCTGTTTTGACATTTGCATGGGACAGAATGGAAATTTAGAAAAGAAAGATTGCTTCCTAGTATTTGGTATAAAGTCAGTGTAACTGTCATGCATGAAGACAAAATATCCATGTAGCTATGATGTGAAAAATGAGATTTTTCTGAAGTTTTATTCTTGTTTTAACTTCTCTCCTGTAACCTCCTACACAGGTGGAAACAGCTGTGCAAAATGCTCGTCATCAATGGCTGCAAGAGCTACCTGAGCTTGCAGAGTACAAAGCACTTGTGAGAGCGGAACAGAAGAAGTGGGAAGAGCAGCAGGAACTCTCTGTGGCCAGGAAGGTAAAGTGCTGTTGTAGAGAGGAACTTGAGCAGGTCCTTTACTGATTCTTTACCTCTACTCTGGAGTTTGCACTTACTCATGGAGTTGAAGGATTGATTATCACAATAAGCATTCCAAGTGGTATCTGTTCTTATCTTCACATTGTAAGGAGAGGGAATGTATTCTAGCACCTTAAATCTCTTCTGGTCAGAAAGACAGTGTAGGCTTAGAAATCCACCCTACTTTATTATGCTCTATCTTTGGTTGAGGTTGAGAACAGATGTTTATTTGCTGTCTGTCTTCTGTGTCTGTTCTCATGGTGTATTTCCTTTGGTAAATAGCCAACTATCTGTTTTAGAGATTTCATGTTCCTCAAAAGAAAAATTAATGTTACTACAACCTTGCCTCCCCACTTTAATTTACTGATCTTAAACTAATTCTAATCAAAAGGCCAACAAAGTAACTTTGAGGTTTAACACAGTAATTTTAGAATTTATTTGGAAAAATAAAAGGACTAGATTTTTTTTTTTTTTTGCTGTTCTAGAAAAGATATTGGAAAATATATTTGAAAGCAAAAATTTTGTTGATTCACAATACAATTCTATATAAGACTTCCGAGATTAACCCAACTATGAAGCAATGCTTAACAAATTGCTTCAAAACGAGAGATGAGGAATTAATTACTCCATGATAAATAGTTTTACAATAGCCCATTAACACTTGGGAAAAATTACCCACCCATGTGTCACAATAAACTTCAAGCTGTTAAGTTAAACATTTTAAAGATAAAGCAGTGTGATGTCCCACACCTGTAGTCCTAGTACTTGTGAGGTAGAGACAGGAGTATCAGGAGTTCAAGGTTATCCTTGGCTACAGAGAAAGTTTGAGGCCATCCTTGGATACATTAGACCCTGTCTCAAAAAATAAATTTCATTATTTTCTTGTTAGGTAGTAGTACATGAATGTTTATTATTTATATTTTTTAGTATGTCTGAAATATTTCAAAGGAAATTTGAGAGAGAAAGAGACAGAGTGTATGTATGTGAGAGAGAAAGAGAGAGCAGAAGCAATACAATGGTGATGCTCAGAAGTCAAGTTGAATAATCAAGTTGGGGCAGAATATAGAAAGTAAATAGGCCGACAGATTATTCTTTAAGAACGTAGAATGAGCTTGGACATGGTAGTGTACAGCTATAATCCCAGCGCTCAGGAGGCTTGAGGCAGGAGGATTACTGTGATTTTGGGGTAAGCTTGGGCTGCATAATGAATTCAAGGCTACCTGGAGGTATATAGCAAAACCCTGTCTCAGAAACAAGCAATCAGGTAGGAAAAGAACACAGAACACACCGATGTGTGTGAATATAGACTTGTGGAAATGAGAGGACAGTGTTCATGCTGCTTCTGGAGCTAGCAGGCCTGATGTCCACCTGCAGGCATGGGCATTCCTTTTAGAGATGACTTGGTAAGTCCGGAATGAGTCCTGAAATTTGCCATTTCTTTCTTCTTGTTTTGTTTAGATTTGAGGGAACAGGGTCATACAGGCTGTCCTTGAATTCATAGTCCTCCTCCCTCACGTAACCCTTGACTGACTTGAAGATCTTTTAAACATACTGTTGTCTGGCTGCCACTCTCATACTATCCTTTGGTTGGTATGAGGTGTAACCTGGCCATCAAGATTTGTGATCGTTCTTTAGGTGGTTCTGATACGGAATGAAATCTGGTAACCATTAAGTTGAATAATGTTGTCAGACCTTTACCCGAGAACATGTGCATGTTTGTTCAGGAAGGTTGGGGAGGCCATCTAAAGTGCCTGGAATCTACCACCTCTACCTAAGTCCTGGTAATAGTGCCCAGGCTCCCACTACAACATGACATACTGTTTTCTAAAAGCATTAGCCAAACATATTCAATTACTACTAATTTACTGGTGGGTTTACCTTAGATAATAGGTTCTCTTAGTAGAACATGTAACAAACCCATATTCTGTCTTGTAGCTTTGGCTAATAGCAATCTCCACTGTCTAGGTCAGGCCTCTGGAGATGCCCAGTTCTGTCCTTTGGCACTGTTGGGTCCTTGTGACTTCTTCAAATACAGTCAGAAAATAGTAGAAATACGAGCAACTCAAAGTCATTATCCAGTCTGCTCGTAGGTGGTGATTCAAAGTGCCATAAAGATAAGTAACATTGCCAGACTGATCGTCAAAAAGTAATGGTACGTCACATCTGTGTTTTGTACTTTAAAGGACTAGCTCCTTAATATCATTTAATCTTAGCTCTTTCAGATTGGGATTGTCCCTGTTTTATAGATGAGGGTATTAGCACTCAAAATTGAGGAATGGGCCTGTGACTCCATGGTGGTCAGTGGATTCAGCCAGTTGTCTCCAGAGCCTGCTCTGGGAGGCCCTTGGGTGAGACTGCCTCTGCATCAGTGGCAGGGTTAGAGCTGCTGCCTAAAACCTTTGGTTTCCCTTTTGCCTTTTGGTTTTGGACCTATTTGTCATATTGGTTCTTTTATGTAGTTGTCCTATTATTTTGTAACAAAAGAAAAAATGAAAGAATGACTTTCTCTTTGATATTGGTTCTAACCCTCAGAATTCCAGTACTTGTTTACCAGCAAGTAGTTAGGCAGATAAATGTTATATTCCGAAGGAAGGGTCAGATTTTTCCCATGGGACTGCTCTTGCTTAGTGTATGAGGCCCTAGATCGGTATCTGTTTAAAAAATGTTGATGTGAAGTATATTTATGATGATAAGTTTGGTTAATTATATAAATGTATGATGAATATTAATGTGTTGATTTAAATTTCTAGTTCTCCATCAAGAAATCAATGTTTTATTAAAGAAGACAAACCATTAAGTGGTTTAAAATAAAGAAGAGCTGGGGACATGTCTCATTGTATGAACTGCTTACTGTGCAAGCATGAGGATCTGAGTTTGGATTCTCAGAACCCATGTAAAAGCTGGGCTTTTTGGTAGGCACCTATAATCCCCAGCACTGAGGGGATGAAGACAGTAGGATCCAGAGGGCTCATGGCCAGCCAGTCTAGTGGAAATGGCAAGTTTCAAGTTCAGTAAGACTTTGTCTCAGGAAAACAAGAGAAAAAGCAGTAGTGAAGGGCAGTTCAGTGTCAGCCCCTGGCCTCCACGTGCATCTGTGTGTGTGAGTACTCCCACACACATACATGCTCATGCTTCTCTCTCTCTCATACACACATTACACTCTGAACACACACACACACACACACACACACACACACACACACAAAGCTATTTATTCCCCTTTTCAGGTTTCTAAGACTTTGATTCTTTCTCCACAATGATTCTTTCTAAGAACCTGGGCAGGGAGAAAGGAAAACAGTAAGAAGGACTTGGGAAGTTAATCCCCAGGCCCTGGGTCATAATACCGGGCATCAAGCACTGCTTAGACCATGTGGTCCAAAGGAAGCTGCTTTTCTAACTAGATCAAAGGATTTTAAATTCCAGTAAACATGGAAAACAGTGCTTTTTTATTTGAAATGTTTTCTTACTTTGTTTACCCAGTAAAGGGCCCAGCTTCATCTGTCTGGGTGGCCCCATGTTCCTGACCACTGCTCTACTGCCTATCACTGCAGCTCATGATTCCAGTGCTGTCCTCCACTCCAGCTTCCCCTGATCCATTCCAGTTCATCACAATGCTCCTGCTTCCGAAGCCCCTCAGCTTCCTTTTCCTTGTTCTCTGTGCTGGACGGCTTTAGTGTCAGCTTGACACACCTGGGCTGAGGGAGCCTCAGTGGAGATCAACCCCTCGGCGCCCCACACCACACACACACACACACACACACACACACACACACACACACACACACACACACACACACACAAGATCCTTAAGTCTAGTATAAGCATGTTTTATAGAATATCACATCTAGATTTATTTTTCCCTTTATATTTTATTTTAAATTGCCTGTTAAATTGGGAAGTTAAGTCCATTTACTAATCATGAATTTTTTGTCAATAAAGAGAATCTCAAAGACTTTGAAATGTGTGTTGTTATACCTGTTAGCTGTCATTTGCACTGTCTGAAGCTAAAGAGAAATGGAAAAGTGAGCTTGAAAATATGAAGCAGAATGTAATGCCTGGAAAGGAACTGGAAGAGAAGATTCAGTCTCTTCAGAAGGAACTGGAGTTGAAGGAAGAGGAAGTCCCTGTGGTTGTCAGGGCTGAGTTAGCTAAGGCCCGAACTGAATGGAACAGAGAAAAACAAGAAGAAATCCACAGAATTCAAGAACAAAATGAGGAAGATTACCGGCAGTTTTTAGATGATCATAGAAATAAAATTAATGAAGTGCTTGTAGCAGCTAAAGAGGACTTTGTGAAGCAAAAAACAGAGCTGCTTCTTCAAAAGGAGACAGAATTGCAGGCATGTCTAGAGCAGAGTCGGAGAGAGTGGACAGTGCAGGAGGCTCGGCGGATACAGCTGGAGATCCATCAGTATGAGGAAGATGTCTTAACTATGCTTGAGTTTCTCCTGCGGGACACTCAGGAGTACTCCGGGGATTCAGAGGATAAGCAGCTTTTGGAAATCATGTCAGTTTGTTCTTCAAAATGGATATCTGTGCAGTATTTTGGGAGACTTAAAACCTGCATACAAAGAGCACTTCAGGATATGCTGTCTCTTACAGAAAATACTGGCCCGGAATGTAGAAAGGTATGTTTTTAAGAGTGAAAGAACTGTTGAATACCAAGGATGATTGTATGATTGCACAAGGTGAATATAGTGTGTTTTTCCTGCCTTTATTAGTTTAATAGCATAAGATTTGTGTTTTGACTAGTGATTTTAAAAAGGGTTTTGCAGCAGATCCAGTGGATTACATTTATTGCTAATTTTTTTAACTGCTTCATAGTTATCTAATAACACTGTATGTTAAAGTATTTATTTTGAATTTGAAAGAGACAAAAGCTTTTATTATAGTTGAATATGACTCCTGTGATAGCAAAAAAATTCTGGATTTGCAAGAGTAATTCTGTTGCTAAATTGTTTATTCTGTGGTGATCACATAAGCCTTTCAAAAAATATCTCCTGTCCTAGGTAATAGCAGGCCCACCAACTTTCTGTCAGACAGTATGGCCATAGGATGCCAGACCATAGGATATCATACTATTCGATGATAAAATCCTAAGAAAAATATTGGTGATAGTTCAAGCAAGGTTGTTTACAGACAGTGTTTTCTTTTTGTATTTTTAATATTAGGATTTTAAACAAATATTTGTAGGTATTTTCCACAAACATTAAGTCTGAAGACAATTTCTTTCAGAAAAATACAACCAAGACCTCTGCAGATCCTGTCAGCTGGAACACTGGCCAAGGAGACCCCAGGATTCCAGCGCCCCTTTCCATCCCTACCTCTGGAAACTGTACTCAGCCCTCAGCCTTGCCAGAAGTGGAAGCTGGTAATTCATTGCCACTGGTTGCCACTCCAGTGGGTCACTTTATTGATGTTTGTGTGACTTCATGTGTGTCCTCTGTCTAGATCAGACTTTGCATTTAGAGGAGAGGGTTCATTTGGATCCTTTTCTGTTGCGTTTCCTCCATCCACAAAAATTCGTATTATAAAACAGACATTTAACGGAGCAGTCGTTTTTTTAATCCCTAGCTGTTGAGATATCAAGAGTTTCACAGAAGGGAATTACCAAATAATGGAGACTTTTTGTTCAAATCACTTACTTCAACTGTTTCTTTAAAAAAAAAATTATTTACTATTTGTGTTGGTGTGTGGTGCGTATGCCACAGCACATATGTAGAGGCCAGAAGACAACTTTGTGGAGTTTATTCTCTCCTTTCACCATGGGATCTGGAAGTGAAACTCGAGTAGTCAGGCTTGGGCAGCATGTGCTTCTGCCCACTGAGCTATCCTGACAGCATTGTTTCAACTGTTCCTTAACGGAAATTGTTTTGATGCATGTTGACTGATTGTGTGTGTGTGTGTGTGTGTGTGTGTGTGTGTGTGTGTGTTTTAGGGCAGGAAAGGTGCAGCCCCCTGTGTTCAGAGTTTACCAAGGGACATAAGGGCTTATACATATTCAGTGAGATTTCTAAACTAGGAATTGGCAGATTCTTATAAGATCCCATCTTTTCTAGTGTGTTGACCCCTTACAGTCTGTTCTCGTTCTTCACAATTGCATTTCTGCTGCTTATTTGCTGTTTCCCTTATGAGCTGAATATTGCCAGGGCAGATGGTGTATATTGAATCATACACTTACATGTACTTGTGATACCATAGATACTGTTACCATGATTATCAGTGGTTGTCCTGAAAGATCAGGTGGTGGTTGTTTCTGTCACTGTTCTTCTCAGACCCTTTTCCCTTACCCCAGAGTTCCAGGTGACTGGCAATATCTTATTGATAATTTAATGGATAGCAGTAGTACCCTAATTTGTATTTTGTTTCTTACTCTTATATTTGGAATAGCTTGACTATTATATTATTATTATATCTGTTAAATGTAGAAATAAAATGTAGATGTTACTTGACTTTGCGAAGTCCTGTGAAAGAAACTGGCAAACTGTATTATAAAAAGATTTGTTTTTCTTTTAATCTTTTTCCTATAAGCATATCAATAATCTCATTAGAAAGAATTAAATCCCCAAAATATAAAAAGGTAAAGTCCTTTACAATCCTACCACCAGAAGTTACTACTATAGACAGTTATATTTGGTTATATTCTCCTAATCTTAGTTTAAAGTAATTTAACCATTACTTATGAAATATTTGATACATACAAAGAATATAAACATACTGCATAGGTATGTTATAAAAGCTAACAGTCAGGAACCCATCATTTGACTTAAGAAATAGAATGTCTCTAATATGCTTACCACAATTTTATCCACAACATCTCCCAACCTGAAGTTAACAGATATTCAGATTTTTAAAATCATTTTGTTTTTGTTTTGGCCAATATGTATCATTTTTTATCTAAACACTTAAAAAATGGATTCATACTGACTGTATTCTTTGTAAGTTGCTATTTCTACAGCATCATGCTATTTGTCTGTGTTGATACAACTCTAGGTCAACCATTTTTGCTGCTGTGCAGATTGTTATATTGTACACATAAAATTGATGTGTTTTCTTGTCAGTGAATGTTTTTGCCTAGTTTTCAGTTAACAGTATCTTGAAAGCCTGGAATCAGTATGATGCACCACTGTGATGCTTCCCTGTCCCTTTGGTGTTTATGAATATAAATGACATCATTTTAAAGAAACTGAGAAATCAGGAGAGTGCTGTGAATAATTGTACTGGTCTACTGACTTACATTAGAACTTTGGATACTGGTCACTTACCCTGTGTCAATTTGTACCTCTATTTCTATCATGTGTCATTTATCTGTATTTCATAACATTTTTGTGTAATATTTAACTGTAAGTTCTATATATTCTGTAGTAGTTGCTTTCTGTTGCTGTGGTAAAACACTGTTCTAGTTTGCTTTCAATTGCTATGACAAAACACTTTGACCAATACTAACTTGGGGAGCAAAGGGTGTATTTGGCTTGCATCTCCTCGGTCACAGTTCATCAGGTAGCCCAAGGTAGGAACTCAGGGCAAGGAGCTGGAGCACAGGCCATGGAGGAACACTGCTTACTGGCTTGCTCCCCTGGTCCATGCTCATCCTGCTTTCTTATACAATACAGAACAACCTGTCCAGGGGTGGCACTGCCCACAGTCGCCTGGGCCCTCCCACATTATTCAAAAATCAAGAAAATACCCCACAGACATGGCCACAGGCCAGTCTAGTAAAGGAAATTTTCCAGTTGAGGTTCCCTCTATCCAAGTGTATCAAGTTGACAACTAAAGCTATCTAGTACGAACATTGACCAAAAGCAACTTGAGGAGGAAAGGGTTTGTTTGACTTACAGTTCATCATTGAGGGAAGTCACAGCAGGAACTTAAGGCAGAAGTTTGAAGCAGAAACCAACAGAAGAGTGCTACTTACTGGCTTGCTCTCCCTGGCTTGCTCAGGTACCTTTCTTATATAGCCCAGGCCCACTTACCAAGGAATGGCACCGCCCACAGTGGGATGGGCCCTCTGTTGTTAATTAGCAATCAAGAAAATGCCCCATAGACTTTCCCACAGGCCAGTCTGATGGAGGTAATTCTTCAATTGAAATTCCCTCTTTCCTGGTCTGTCAAGCTTTGTGTCAAGTTGACAAAAACCAACCATCACTGTAACATTTTTGCATATTATTTTAATTTTATGAATTCAATGTACTACTGATGTTAATTTTTTGTGTTCTTAGTATATACCAGGTGCTATGCCAAAGAATTTTATTTATGGCTCCCAACATTTTAAAGTCATTTTTCAAATTTGGAGGTAATTTCAATCTTAAAAAAAAGTAATCACAAGAATAAATATAGAACATTCATTTAACTGGATATACCTGTTGATAACTTATTTTCTGATTATGTGCTCTTGTGTGGGATGTGTATGTGTGTATGTATGTGCATGCATACCAATATCATTCTTTTTGGAACTCTTTGAAGGTATGGCGAATACATTGTATCTCTTTTTCTAATATTTATTTTTATATGTATGAGTATGTTGCCTGAATGTATGTAGGTCTTATACAATGCCCACAGAGGTCAGAAGAGGGTTTCAGATCCTTAGAACTGGGGTTATGGTGGAAACCAAATCTGGGTCCTTTGCAAGAACAGCCAGTGCTCTGAATCACTGAACCATCTCTCCAGCCCCCCTACATTGTATTTATGGCCAAATGTGTCAGTCTGTATTTGGAATTTTTTCTAGAATAGTTTAGAATATGTTCTAGTTTGTTCTTCATTGCTGTGACAAAATACTCTGACCACTACCAACTTGGGGAGGAAAGGGTTTATTCAGCCCACATCTCCCAGGTTGCAGTTCACCAGGGAGCCCAAGGCAGGAACTCAGGGCAGGAACCTGGAAGCAGGAGCTGGAGCACAGGCCATGGAGGAACGCTTCTTACTGGCTTGCTCCCCTGGCCCCTGCTCAGCCTGCTTTCTTATGCAACACAGGCCCACCTGCCCAGGGGTGGCACCACCCACAGTTGGCTGGGCCCTCCCACATCACTCATCAAGGAGATACCCCTTAGACATGGCCACAGGCCAGTCCAATAGAGGCAATTCCCCAATTGAGGCTCCCTCAACCCAGGTATGTCAAGTTGACACTAAAGCTACCCAGTACAGTATAGTACAGTAAATTTGACATTGAAGTATAACCTGCTGTTTCACTTTAATTTTGTCAGTTGCCCCAAATAATATCTAGAATAACAATTTCCCTCTCCTGTATGTTACATTTCATTATCATGTTCCTTTTGATTCCTTTAATACAGAATATTTCCAAAGTCTTTCTTGTCTTTTGTCACACTGAAATTTTGATAAGTATTCTGTTCTCTTCCCATCCCACACTTTTTTTTTTTTTTTAAAGTTATTCCATTGGGTTTATCCTCAGTTTCTTCTTGATTGGATTCAGACTGTATTTTCTTGACTGGGAGACTGTACTGGTGATGTATTTTCACACCTGGAAGCACATGGTGCTCATTTTCTTTTATTGTTGAGATCACCTGGTCAAAGTTGTGTCCCCCCCACCCCATTTGCAGCCAATGAGCAGTATGTAGAGTGGCACTTTGAGGACTGTGTAGATATCTTTCTCATGAAAACTTCTTTTAGATGTGGCATCACTAGTAATTCTTGTTTCATGTTCTTTACCATAATGGTTGCAAAATGATAATTTTTCTGACTCCAGACCTCCCTTCACTTTTACCAGTTTGCATTCAGCATATTTTTTAAAATAAAAATCTCTGCTTGCTGGTTTGTTCATCCATTCATCCGTCCATCTGTCCTTCTCTCCTTCCATCTGTAGCATAGTGATGTGAATTACACATTCATATTTTTCAATATTTTGAAATTCATTACTATATTTAATTAGTATTCAGATTGCCCCAGATTCATTTGGGGAGACCCTTCAAATTTGCTCCTGAGACCTTGTACTGGGTCTGTATTTTTGAGTACTTTTCTTTCTGACATGGCAGGATATTTCAATCTTCCACTTTTAAAGTTAGCCATTCTTGAAGATTCTGTTTCCTACAATGAAAAATGATATTGAATACCAAGATCTAGGCATTAGGCTTCATAGCATTTTAAAATTAGATCATATTATCAAACTTTACATATTAAAAAATGAAGCCTCGTCAGGCATGATGGTGCACGCCTTTAGTTCCAGTACTTGGGAGGTAGAGGCAGGCGGTTCTTTGTGAGATGAGGCCAGCCTGGTCTACATAGTAGGTTCAAGACCAGCTGGGGCTAAAGGGAGACCCTGTCTCAAAAAGACCCTCCCCCCGCAGAAGCCTCAAAGAGGCTAAATAATCATGTTAACAAATGGAACAGGAGTTAACTCAAGGCCTTGCTAAGCATCTTGTTTTTGCAGTTATACCGGAAACTTTGATCGTAAGTCATATCTGTTTTTTAAATTTTATGTGTACGAGTGTTTTTCCTGCATGTACGTAAGTGTAACCATATTGTGCAATGCCCATAAAGGCCATAAAAGGGCATTGGATCCCCCTGGAACTGGAGTTATGGATGGTTGTTAGCCACCATATGGGTGCTGGGAACCAAACACAAGAGCAACCAGTGCTCTTAACCACTAAGCCATCTCTCCAGCCTTATGGTTTTCTTGATAGTTCTTAGTCTAAACTGATGCAAAAATTTTGTGTCGTTTAATTTTCACAGATAAAAAGATCTTTGAAATTAAAGATTTGTGCTGTGGACATTGCTTCCAAGAACTTGAAAAGGAAAAACAGGAATGTCAAGATTTGAAAAGAAAACTGGAGAAGTGCTGTAGGCATCTTCAGCATTTAGAGAGGACGTACAGAGCTGTAGTGGAGAAGCTCGGAGGTTAGCGCTTCAAGTTGCGTGACTACAGTATAAGGCTCTTTGATCCTTGTGAAGTGCTTGAATGTGACATTTTTGATAATGCATGCGTTGATTCTCTTGGGATTGATGTAAATTAGTTTGGATCTATGTTTACTAATTGAATTAAAAGGCTTAACATTTCTTTCTTGATGGAACAAGTATTGAAGACCCTGTGTGTGTCATGCAGTACTGCAGTCACTGGAAACAGAAGTGTTGGTCAAGCTGAGCAGTGTCCTGGGAGGCAGGGAAAGGCATTTGGATCTGACCAGCTTCCAGTCCACTCATACTTGATGTTAGAGCAGTACCTGAATTAGGGAGCTGTTGGCCTTACATGGCTCCTCCCTCTTACCCTTCTCCACTCATCTATACCCTGTGTTCCTGAATTTTTATATTTGAAATGTTTCGGGTTGTTTTCCTTGCCTCTGGACCTTGCATATCACTCTGCCCTGTGTACTTGACCTTGTCATTTACTTTGGGGTCCAGTTTTCATGCTTTGGAATTCAACTCACAAGATGCCTCATTTGCAAAGCTCCCCCTCCCCCATGTTCCCACATGATTTAATAGGTCACACCCATGTGGCTCTGGAGCTCTCCATGGTTCTTTCTCTATCCCTCTGATGCCATACTGTATTCTACTTGCTTGAGACCATCCAAACTGTTCCCTGAGGATATGGACTATGCCCATTTTATTCATCTTTGGAGTCATAGTGCCCACTACATACTAGACAATAAGTGTTTGAATGAATTTTTTAAAGCCTGAATACCAGGGTCTCAAAAAGATTGTCACCCAGAGAAAAACAAGCAAGTGGGTTCATTTATCTTCTACATTCACCTCCATCTCCGCCTGGACAGTGTAGTCACCTCCTGGATCTGATTCCTGTCTTGCCCTATTCTTTCTATTCTCTCTAAGGCAACTAGAGCAACCTATTAAAAAATGAATTAGATCATAACATACTCTTTGGTGGCTGATCATGATCTTCTGTGTATGAGATATGAACACAATTTAATGATCATGCTTTAGGATCTAGTACCTGCCAGGCCCTCCATCCCTATCTCCCCACTTAACCTTCTCAATAGAGCCAGAGCATAGATTTCATTGTCTGTAGTCTCTGGCCCCTTGGCCTTCTCCCTAGATCAAAACTTCCTAGTCTCATTGCCTGGCTAACCCTTACTCATCTTTCTTTCAGTATGCATACTGTGCCTGGTTAGGACCTACTGCTGTGCATTCCTCATGTCTCCAATTATTTCTGTAATTATCTTTTGTCTGTTTGATGTAGACTCTGATAGCAAGAGTCAAATCCTGTAGTAACCCTTAGCATTGTATTCCAGGATCCTGCTCATTGCACGTAGTAGGAAGTAATGATGACTAAGAAGTCTGCCACTTACTGCTTACTGAGGCTGTTAGAAATAGGTAACGAGTGAGTTGAGGTCAGGAAGGGTTTTACAAATTTTGAAATTAAAAGTTTAACAACCATACTTACTTTCATGGTTACTTATCTCCCATAAGGGCCAGAAGAGGAATTGAAGTACTTGTCTATCTATACAGATGATACAGCTTTGTAAAATTTGATGCAAACCAAGATGATATTTTTTACATAATAAAATGATAATAGCGTGGATATGGCTATAATTTATACATACGTAAATTTATAATTTTTACTTAGCATTGTATATTGTGATCATAAAATAGTTATTTTACATAGTGACTTTTGAAGCTGGTATCTTCTGTAATTCATAGGCTTAGAAACAATCTAAGATACTTCTCAAAGTAATGGACTGATATGTTTTAATTCTTGTCTAAATAGAAATCTATGAGATGATAATATCTTTGTGGTTGTGCTTGTTTCTTTTTTGTTTATGTTCCATTGTTTTGATAGCATTTTTTGAAAAGTGATAGAACAAGTGTGAGTGGCTTAAAAGTACATGCTATGTCAACTGCTTTTGTCTTTGTTCATAGGGTCTGCTGATGGGGTGACTTGGTTTACATTTACTGAGCATTGGTATTAATTGCCAGGACTTGTAAACATTTTATGCATTTGTTATTTTATTGCTAGTATAATCTATAAGATATGTAATACTGACCCATTTTACATGTGGAAAAAAACCTCAGATTTAGAAAGACTTAAGTAATTTGCCCAGGGCCATCCAGCCATTAAGCTGAGCTGGTATTTAACTTTGTATCTCTGTGACTCTGAAATTGCTTGTTTTCTGTTTCATACCACATGAACTCTGTCAGTCTCCCCTGAACATCTTACATTATTTCCAAAAATGGCACCTACTTACGTTTTTATTGTATTGAGGTGATTGGTCAGTGATGGTTTATATGAACATAAACTGTGTACTAGGACCCAAGGGAACATAGAGCTAAAAAACCTGATAGGTTTGGGGCTGGAGGATGTAGCTTAATGATAGAATCCGTGCATATCATGTGTAAAAAGCCCTGGGTTCCAGTCCTAGGACTGCAATAAAAGAAAACCTACTAGGTTTCTAGAGAGCTTGAGTCTAGCTAGGAAACCAAGAATTTGCATGAAACGGCTGGGCACCATTTCAGGACATATGTAATGGAAAGTAAGATGAAACACAGATTTTGAAAGCTGAGAAAGTTGAACAAGGGAAGGGTCAGTGTAGGGCTTATTGAGGAATGAATGATAGAAATTAGGAAATCTTTTCTATATTCATTTGTGGTAGGAACTTAAGGGAAAGAAGGACTGGAAGAAAATTAACTTAAGTACTACTAACTTCTTTTATAGAAGAGAATAGCAGAGTGGTTGAAGAATTAATAGGAGAAAACAATGATATGAAGAATAAATTGGAAGAATTGAGAATCTTTTGTAGAACACCACCAAGGTAAGTTTTTACAATTTAAAGACTATTTTTTTTATTTATTTATTTTATGTGTACGAGTGTATTGCCTGCATGTATGTGAGCGCACCTGTGTCGTGCAATGCCGCAGACGTCAGAAGAGGGCTTTGGATTCCCCTGGAACTGGAGTTAAGGACAGTTCATAGCCACCATGTGGGTGCTGGGAACTATTTTATTTCAAATTATCTTAAAATTATTAGAAGTGTCACTGTTAACTCTTTTATTATTTCACATAAAGCATATTAAAAAAGAAAGTCTTCCCGATCCTATTTACAGAAAATACTGTAAATCCCTGTTTCGTATCACTTAAGCCTGTTATACATACATAGCATGTGCACAATGTTTTTTAAAAATGGAATTTGGGATTTAATAACCCTTTACTCATGTTAGAAAAGCATTTCCCCATTTTACTAGGTGCTTTCCAAAATTTTAGCTACACTTTTTCAGTAGCTTCATACATTTGCCAGTATTTACTTAAGCAATTCTAACATTTATTTACATTTTTCCTTTTTTGGGGGGGACACGGTCTAATGTAGCCTAGGTTAGCCTCAAATGTGACTAGAGATGACTGAATGTCTGCCTCAACCTTGAAGGCTGGGATTATAGGTGTGTTCCATCATACCTGGTTTCTGTAGTGCTAGGGAACAAAACCAGGCTTCATGCTTGCTAAACGCTATTAAATAGGCACGCTACCAACTGAGCTTTATCCCTAGCCCTTCTTTTTATTTTAAATAACTGGATAAGGGAGGTTACTGTGTATATAATCTTTAGCATAACTCAGATTGTTTATTAGTCTATATGAGTACATTGATACTTTTCAAGTGAAATTTTTCACTTATAATCTGTTGTTTTACAATCTACTTTCTTATTAGGTCCTTGTCAGAAGGGGCCATTGAAAATGCTTGGCTGCCATGCAGTGGGCAAGCCTTGGAAGAACTTCGTGGGCAGTATATTAAAGCTGTAAAAAAAATTAAACGTAAGTCTCCAAAGAGATTCTCAAGATTCTTAGGATGGTTTAGGCCTTTTGCATTGTTGTAATATATAAACTCACAGTTTACCAACATCAATACTTTTAGCAAATTTTTCTAAACTACCTTTTTCTTCAATCTTAGATCATTGATGCCATTTCAGAATTATACAGTAATGGATTATTTTGCCCAAGCAACATGACAGTAGTTATTTTTTTTTAATATATTTATTTTAATTTAGTATGTATGAGTGTTTGCCTACATGCATGTATGTGTAGTACCTGTGGAGGTCAGAAGAGGGCACTGAATCCCTTGGAACTGGAGTTTCAGATGTTGTTAGCAGCCATGTAGGTGCTGGGAACTGAACTTGGGTCCTCTGCAACAGTAGCAAGTGCTCTTAACCACTGAGCCATCTTTACTGCCCCTGAGAAGTTATTTTTATATTGTTGATTATCATCTTTTGTCTTTGTTCACACATTAAAATTAAACTAACCAAAAATAATCTTATAACATAAATAACTTGTAACAAAGAAATTGTCACATGAAGACTGGGAATGTAGCTCAGTGGCAGAGCTTTCACCTAGTGTGTACTGTGATCTGGGAGGAAGGGGAAGAAAATGTGTCACTTAAGTTATTAGCAATACTTCCTCCTATATACATTGAGGAACTGTGGAAATGAGTCTAGTTGGTAGCTGTTTTGTTATTTCTCATTATTTCAAATGGCTATAAATGTGCCAGGGTTTGTCAGGACCAGCTCCTTTGCAGAGCATCGCCAGGGGTGTGTTTTCAGAGTAAGAATACCTCTTGCATTTCATTTAAATATTCCATAGAATGAATGTATGTCTCAGTACAGTAATCAGTGTTTATATAGAAAATGTGTATTCCTTCCTAAATTGCATTCATTTATTAGCAAACAATTGATAGGTATCACAATCCTTTGTTGATATTCTAGAAAGCTAATTCAGTATTGTAAAACGAGTTGCTAGTACTTGTAAAGGACATATTACTATAACAAGCAGCTTTCATTCATTACCATTTAAGAAGTGGCATTTTAGCTGGGCATGGTAGGGCATGCCTTTAATTCTAGCACTCAGGAGGCAGAGGCAAGAGGACCTTTATGAGTTCAAGGCTAGCCTGTTCTACATAGCAGATTCTAGGCCAGTCATAGTGAGGCCTTGTCTCACTACACTGAAGTGGAATTTTAAAGTCTATGTCCTGCTACAGCTGGTGTGTGTTATGTTTAGTCACAGTTTAGAAGGGCACTTGGAAGTTGTATTTTGGCATGTACTTTGCTTAACTTTGCCTGTCTCAAGTAAGAAAAAGTAGACTCCCCGTTAGCATTTTTGCATAGAGCATCTAATTTTCAGATGTTTATTGACATTGACAGGGAGATTCCTATGTGAATTGGTATTTGTAACATAATAAGAGCAGTGGAATTCTAAATGGAGAATGTCATTCTAGGTTTAGTTGAAAAAGTTAGCCTTAGCTACTAGTGGCCGACATGAAAGCATGTTGAGTTACAAATGACGAGAGTTTAAAGGGCATGAATTATGATCTTAAGTGAATTTCAGAAGGTAAGAAGTTCTACCCTGCTTCTGTGCAATGCAATTTGGGCATCCCTCTCATGGATTGCAAGACATTTAAATGTTCCTAAATGCTGCTGAAAACACTTGAATAAATAATGGACCAGAGGCTTTTGCAGAAGAAGTGTTTTTTTCCCCTTTTGCAGTGTCTGCTTTTCTGGTCACCCTTTCTGTGCCCTTCCCTTTAAGGTACAGCAAAATACATAAGTTTCTGTGCTTCATATTTGCCATGTTCTTTGCTTACCTAAGTGCTTTAGAATATGAAAAATACATTGTACTTCCTCACCCATATGCTGCTATCGCCCTCTCAGGGCTAACGGAGTATATTTTTTTTGAGCCTACCAGAATGACTTTATGAAGTGTTCCATTCTAAAGACTGTGGTAAGTATAATGTTTAGACTATGCCTCCCTCACCTCGTCTGCCAGAAAACCAGCCTAGTTTGCCCTTCCTGTCTCTGAAAAGTGCCATGAACATACAGGGATTTCCTTGCCCTTTGCAGGTGATATGCTTCGATATATTCAGGAGAGTAAGGAAAGAGCTGCGGAAATGGTAAAGGCAGAGGTGTTAAGGGAACGGCAAGACACTGCCCGAAAGATGCGCAAGTATTATCTGACTTGTCTCCAACAGATTTTGCAGGATAATGGCAAAGAAGAAGGGTAAGTTCAATTGGTATTACAAAATTAAGTATTTTTCTATGATCAGCCATTGGGGATTAAGAGAAGCTTATGGTTGTGCTACCCTGATTATTGGCAGAGTTAGTAGGAAACAATCCTGGAGCTGAGGAATGCCATGTTTTTCATTTAAACTATTTTAATTTTATATTCTGGAATTCCCCACAGGGCTGAGAAAAAAATCATAAATGCTGCTAGCAAACTTGCTACAATGGCAAAACTGCTGGAAACGCCTACTTCTCATAGATCCCAGAGTAAGGCTGCACACTCAGGTTTGTCCAGGCGGGTTGCTGGCATATTTTCTCTCTCTCTTTTTCATTTGTATATTTAATGTTTCCTATATGAAAAAGAGTAGGAATATAAGGAGTAGAGCTAATTTATAAGGTTGTATGTGGGGCAGTGAGAGGAGAGGAAACTGGAAATTTAGGAAAAAAGAGCATCAAGTTTCCAGTTCCAGTGGGTAGACTGTACAACCCCAGCACCACCCTTGTCCTGAGAAAGGATGGAAGAGGCTTTAAATGACAACACATGAGAAAAGGGCAGCGTTAGAACCGCATCTTAAGAGGTTGTAATGGAGAGACAGGAAGCTATGATGAATCCCTGAAAGAAAGACCATGGTATGTGATTGAGGATGGGAAGCTTCAGTTCAAAACTGCTGCATGACAGCTATAAGTAGGAGCAGTATCAAACTGTACCAAATGTGGTGATGGTATATCCCAGAAGTAGTGCCCCTGCCCATACCCAGGTGCTTAGCTGGAGATATAGAACAGCAGTCAGATGGAGTCACTCTATTTCTCTCCCCTCCCTTTACCTCCCTTCCCATCTGTTCCTTCTTCCTCTGCCCCCTTCCCCACCTCTCTTCCCCTGTCCTTTTCCCCAACCCTAGCGTTTGGCTGGGCAGTGGGAACAGGGCAGCAGTCCAGGTGTCTGGCTATCAAGAACTAGCAGCCATCGTGCCCAGAGTACCTCCAGCTCATCGCCTTTCCTGTCACCAACTCCTTTAGTCAAACAAGAAAAGCAAACAGTATTAAGGCTATCTAAGAGATAAAGATTTAACCAAATACCACCATCATTATGAAAAAAGAGACCAAACTAGCAACAATAGAGCCAATGAAATTCATACCCAAGGCAAAAGAATACTTAAACAAGCAGCAGGACCTGAGAATGTTCAAAAGTAGAGGATTCTTAGGTGTAAGAGAATATGATAGAAGAAACTAAAAATATGCTAAAATTTTTACAATTTTCAAAGAGAAGTTATAGGTAACTCTAACCATGCTATAAAAGTGCAGACTTGTGTGTGTGTGTG